AAACACCGAAAAAAACCCACCAAAGGCTTACAATCACTTTTATACATTTTATACATCCGCATTAATTGTGTCTACCAGTGTTTCATCAAGTCCAAAACAGCCTATCAATGCAATGATATTTAATTAAATTCAGATATGCATACAAAAACATCAGATTCTTCTATAGCATTAGTTGATATTGAATGCATATTCAACCCCTTACACTCACCTGACGTATATATTTGGCTGGATGTCCATACTTAAACCATTCGAGTTCATTTTAGTCGTAACAACTGTGACGTAACCCTGTTTTTTCAGGTTGATAACGTGTCAAGATTGTATCAATTTTCGTTTTAAATTTGCCGTAAATTAGCCCTTTTAAAGAACAATAAAAGCGCTGGTCACGAATCGTTCTGTATATATTGAAACATCTCAGATGTATATAAAAATATGAAAAACCCCAAATGAAATCCCATAGAATGGTTGCCGTGTAGAAAATGTTCGGACTCCAACCCTTCTTCAGTCTTAAAGGGGAATAAATGCCTAATTAGTTATTGTTCCAAGAAAAACGAAACATCATCGATATGACTGGATGATCAGTCTGTAAACATGTGACGTCACCGTAATGCTAATATTTACTATGTCACGGTAGTGTAACTGTTATTATTATTTGTACGCTAATGAGCGATATCGTTGATTGCTTCCAAGGTTTCAAGATTTATTTTACACTTACGCCACACGTATATGTGCGTTACAAGAGGTCAAATATTACATAGTACATGTACACATTGATGAACATAGTAAACACATTGTACGACATATGATACATTACGTATAATAACAACCTATCTAAATAATTATTGTATATAACCTTAATTTCGATATTTAGTAGCTTCATTACTTTTTGTATAAATCTACTTACTTTAGTACCGACTTCCGTGTTTAAAACATATTGAGAACATCCCTTTCATTTTCATATAAGCTGGGTTGACAAAATAATAATTTGTTATATATTGTTGTCTTAAAGCTACAACAGATACTTTCGTACATAGGTATACATAGTGATATTCGTTCCCAACACAATTATGACGTACAGGACAATGCAGTATAAACCTACACGTGTATTGATGACAAATATTACACTAATCCCTCACCTCCGTGTACGTTACTCGGTCGATGCTTTACTTACTACGTGGAATTTATAACAGACGGGCAGTAAGGTTTATGTCCGTATGTCATTATATCTATATAAAATCATGTAATCAATGATTCGACCTTGTACATTCTTATACGTGATTATTAAACCATCATTCCAGAATCAGACAGAATATTCCTGGAAGTTGCGTTGACTTGTAAATGATTTAAAGTCTGCTAAGCGTATTGATTTTTAATCGCTGTATTAAACAGCCATAGCATTATATAGCGACACGAAAATATACCATAAATGATACAACGGAGTCAAAGTTTTAACAATGCGACGTACTATTAAATGACGTCAAAAGACAGGTAGACAGTCACGTAATATTACTTAGGACTGCGATAGATAAATCACTACAATTGTTGTATTCCAAATATTGTTGTCGTTAGATCTATTATAGTAAGACCTTATTTCTAATCTGTTAAACATACTAGGGCTAATTTCTCGCCTCTTAGACATGTTAACTATTACGTTAAATTTTTCCGATCTCTTGAATACAAGACTTTTTATTAATAAATTTGTGAGCAATTAATTACCTTTTTCTTTTTCCTAATTTCATTACTTCTCATTGCAATATCTATACATTTTTTTCTATTTTGTTTCAAAATAACGTATTGGTATTTTAGCTTGGCGAATGAAGCAGATTGTTAAATTTGCAGAAATTCATTATATCATGAAAAAAGAACATCCTGAAATTAGAACCTACAAATTAAATATTTCAACCTTGTGTAGCAGTTACCTTAATAATCCTAGTAGACGATATCGCCAACGAATGTCTCAATGATAAACCCTTAATAATTCTATTAGACAAAATCGCCAACTATAGTCTTAATGGAAGAACCTTAATAATCCTAGTAGACGATATCGCCAACTAAAAGTCTTAATGGTAAATCCTTAATAATCCTAGAAGACGATATCGCCAACTAAAGTCTTAATGGTAAATCATTAATAATCCTAGTAGATGATATCGCCAACGAAGGTCTTAATGGTAAATCCTTAATAATTCAAGTAGACAAAATGGCCAACTATAGTCTTAATGGAAGAACCTTGATAATCCTAGTAGACGATATCGCCAACAAGTCTTAAAGGTAAACCCTTAATAATCCTTATAGACGATATCGCCAACTAAAGTTTTAATGGTAAATCCTTGATAATTCTAGTAGACGATATCGCCAACTAAAGTCTTAATGGTAAATCCTTAAAAATCCTAGTAGACGACATCGCCAACTAAAGTCTTAATGGTAAATCATTAAAAATCCTAGTAGACGACATCGCCAACTAAAGTCTTAATGGTAAATCCTTGATAATCCTAGTAGACGATATTGCCAACTAAAGTCTTAATGGTAAATCCGTTACTATTAAAACGTTCATTGGCGTAAACGTCAGTATACCATTCTCGAACGCGTCCAAAGTTATTTACGAGTGAAAACTGAAGCTTGGAACGCACTCAAGTGTTACAATAAATTTAGATATTTTTTCTCACAGTGCCTTGAAAGCCTTATGGAACATTATTTTGGGAAACAGCGTAGAAAAGAACATTTGAAATACTTTAAAAATGGCATCAGTTATATCAATAGGCAGTAACATAATGGGAAAATAGCGTTAGGAATGAACCAATGTTTGTAAAAAATTACTACATTCGCGGCCGTACAGGGACCTGAGAGTTGTTACAGCTATATTTTGACCTAAAATTAGATTTTCAGAGTAATTTTACACGTTTTTATTGATGTAAACCTTTCAAAAACGTGTACAATTACGCTGATTAGCTCATTTTAGGTCTAAATAGTCGGGCTCAATTGTAGTACAATGCAAGGGAAGTAACTCGAACTGAAAAAAATATATTACCAATTGAACAGGCAACACACACCATAGAAAGGTCACTACCGGCTTTGCTTGGTGTATTTAAAATGATGAAAACATATTCTTTTGATAACATTCTGTATCCCAGTAAAATTGATTTTCATTACACTAATTTGAAATCTACTTCTTCGAAAAAATAAAGCACATGCCATTTTGATGTTTAAGGCTTCTTTTCGATCGTTGCGTCATTTTTCAAGCATATCAAATCAATAAAGCAGGATTTTGGCAAATGAATTTATAAATATGAATGTTCTTTCAATATTTGAATATGAATCGAAGGAATGGTTTGGTAATTTATTATGTCATATCGACATAATATTAATGTAATGAATGAGAATGAAAGAATGAATGATTTGGTGATTGAGAGAAAGTATGAAAAAGAAAGAGAATGAAGGGTAAGAGGCCTCCTGCATTAGATTACATTATGTAAGATATATAAAAAAAAGATCGTAGGCTTATCAACATCTGGGATAACCCTTTTTTGTTTGTTCTGTTGTCAAATATCTGCTAAATTACCTAGTTCCGACTTCTGCTTTTCATGTGTTTAAGATTTTTCTTGTGCCTTTTAAGTAAATCCATTTAGTATCAGGGAAATCGCGCGGCAGCTTAACGGTAAAATATACATGCTTACATGTTCGATGAAGCTACTTGTTAATATTCAAGGAATCATACAAGCGATAGATCAGATTTTATACTAGAATCAAATAGCTTACTGCTACCTTCGACTTCGTCATGACGTATTCAAATTTTAGACGATTTCCGCCAGAATTTGAGATCAACTACAGATTCGTCTACATCAGATGCCTATCTCAATCTTTACTTGTAACATGACCAACGGAAAATGCTTATTACTGAAGAGTATAGTTAAAGCGATGATTTCAATTTTGCGATCTTGATCTTTCCCTTTTTCGATAGTAACATCCCTTAACCCACTTGTTTAATGTCACGGTTGATTCGATTTGGGTTTGCTGGAAATATCATATTTTCTGTGAAAGATGTCGAATGTGGACAGATTAATTCACAACACATTGTTCTGGGAGACACAGTTTGATTGAGGATATGGGCAAGTTTTATGTTCGCCATCATGATCCCATCGGGGAATATCAAACTTTTTGATTTTACCAAAAAAGGCGCCTTTTTTGTTCCCCACCCCTATTCTTACTTTGGGACTTTGCTTTACTAGGATTAGGCCTTCGAAGGCGGGTGTGGTCAATAAAGTAAGAGACGATTACCTTTCCGGAACTCCTCGTCTTTTTCTCCTTGTACCTTTTTAAGGATCTGCGGGTAAATCTTATTTTGTTTATATGTTTCGTTTAGTTTGATGTGAGTTTGGTTTATGCTTTAGTTCACTATTCTTTTGTTGGGTTTTTTAGGTATAAATTAGTTAATGGCAATTTGCCTTCCGTTGTGGTGGTACTTCAGTATCTCAGTTAATCTCCGTTTTATACCCCAACCTATTAATCATGTCAACAAGTGCAGTTGACACTTTCGAAAAAACCTAGCGCACATTATGAAAAAAATATTAAGTTTACATATATAAGTGTGAATCAGGTGTTGAAGTCTCATGTGTATACTACATGTAGTAAATAACACTTTATTTTTAGTGACAACAATCAAAGTTTCCTAATTCTTACACCTATCTTTACAAACTCACGGTAATGTACATTGTAAATCTTACTGAAAGCATGTGACGTCACACAGTCAAAATTCCTTTCAAACTTAAAGCGATGATTATCGACTTGTTTGGATGAGCAGGTGAAATAATGTAAAGAAATTAACTCACTCAAAAATACACTAAAATGTATTAGATACATATTGTGTGTACACACCAACAAAAAGGGTTTAAAAATGCAAATAACAACTACGTTGGTGACCGCAAGATGTGACCGCGACAATAGTCTGACGTTCTGCTACCTCAGGAAATAAGCCACGGTGGCTCAAGTGCTATACCGTTACACACATCCCATGTATATGTGTAGAGGAAAACAAACATGGATCTCGGCTCGCTCCTCGACTTAAACACTGTGCTAGTGGCCATTGTTGTGATACTGTTGATCTGCTTGGTCAGTCGGTCACTGCAATGGCCGGCCAACATCCCGCCTGGTCCACCTGGCTATCCTTTATTGGGAAACCTACTTCTGCTACGACAGGGAAACATACTGGATACATTCCGAAATCTTCGAAAACAACATGGCGACGTGTTTAGTGTAAAAGTTGGACCAAGTCTTACCGTTGTTTTCAATGGGATTGATATATTGAAAGAAGCTTTTATCAAGCGCGCGGACGAATTCTCTGGCAGGCCATACAGATATATCTCAGAGAAGGTGTTCGAAGGAAAAGGTAATTTTAAAGTTGTTAAAACGTCACAAAACATACATACGTTTGTAACCGGGTTGGGTCCTGGAATGATGACAAAGTCAACCGGGTCGGGTTAGAATGTTAATTGTCTCTCCAATATGATGATCACAGTATAGTATAGACATCACACACAAACAGGTACCAGCTAGTATGGATGCTGTACAAAGATATAGATGGTTTTGACCATGCAACACCAAATTACACACCTATACGTTACATATTTACATACATATATCTCTTTACTAGTATCACCATGTGTACCCTTTATAATATCTATAATAAGTCACAGCTATAAAAATCATATAAAATCCACATAAACATTATACAGTTGTGTGACCGCACAACGCACCAAACATACTGTGCGCACACCGTGCATACATCGTTCACACACCGTCCACACATCGTCCACACATGGTGCGCAAAACTGGGCGATTTAACAATCGTTCGCCCCGTTGTGCGCTTCTCTCCGCATATCTATTTGGTACAATTTGTTGATCAATATTACGGAATGAAAAAATACGGAAGGCTCGTATGCAATAATGTACACTCTATATATTACTGTAATTCTCTCATCACTATAATTAAAAGTATGCACAATTTTACAATGCATGTAACACAATACACAATGACCGTTAAACTGTCAAGAATGGGTTTAGCTCCTCGGTAACAGAACAGGTAAATAACAATTTGATAAGTAACCGAAGTTTTACCTGGCCTGTACACGTTTAGGATTTTTTTGATTTTTTTTAATAAGTTCATAAGTTTATTGGCCTTTAGCCTTTCGGTTTATCAGCATAAACATTACAACACATTTTACAAAATTGAGTTAGTGATATTTAAGCGTTGAACTGTTTTTGTATGATATTTATGATCTATTTGAATGACACAGCTTTGCAAGCAAACAACATAATGTGCGCTAGCGCATTATGATTTGTTTGCTTGCAAAGCTGTGTCACTTAAATAGATCATAAATACCATACAAAAACAGTTCAATACTTATATTTACGTTTTCTCTGCCTCTTATGTTCTTTTTTAACTTATAATTTATAATTAAAATTAAAAATGCCCGCCTTATCGACAGTCCACACAATTTCGTTCAATAGTTTGAACAGCGTATTGGCTCGTGCTGATATGTAAACAAAGTAGTACTTTGACATTTTAACAAACACTTCAAATTTATTCCACAATTTAGTATCAATACAATTGCGTATGATATGTCTATAGGGTGATTCCAGTTTTTCAATAGAAATCTGAGTTGAAAGTTAGATTTGAAATTGTTTCGATTTACCCCCGGAACAAATTTCGCGAATAGATAAATACAGTGAACACCGTGAATGGGACCTTGACCTCCACGAGGGAGTTATTTTTGGAAGTTAATTCGAACTTTTCTCTTTGCTCATTTCGTGAAGAATCCAGGCGTGAATGTATTTGTTGATTGTATGGGAACCCGACAACAGTCGGTAGATTCTATAACAGCATCGTTATTCGACATGTCGTCTGAAACCGTGGATCCGAGACGCGTGAAACTGATAGCGTTTGAAGTGAGTGATCTTGCGACAAAGCACAGGTTCGTTACAAATGTCTGAAATGAATAATATAGTTTCCGTTTCCATGGAAACGAGATCGGGGACACATATTTTATTTTATTTTAATTTAATGGAAATATTTAAATCAATGAGTTCTCAATTTTTCTTGAAATCGTTGGACCTTGAAACAGGACATTTTCATCGTTTTGTTGCCATGGCAACGTCTCTATTTTGGCTATGAAATGTTAAAAGCTTGTGTTTTCGTGATTTTTCTTAACTTTTCAAGCAAATTTTAAAGAAAATGTCTAGATCATAATCATTTTTACAATTTCTTTAAAAATAGAAAAATAAAATACATTTTGATAAGAAAACCAAAAATCAAAACTTTGAGCTGTTCCTTCAAAAAAACGGGACGGGCGATTTTCTTAAAAATGCCATGAAAGGATAGAGGTTCCCCCAATGAACAAATACAGACACATTACTACATTATTGTAATGAAAAAAATCCACGGAGAGCGCAAACCTTACCTTAAAATAATTATCACATTAGCAAACGTATATGTAATAACATCCCGGTGGTTTAACATAGCGGGCATCATGGCATACCACTCTGGTTTATTTCAAATGCGTACAAACGTATCACTCAGGGTCCCATATTTCTCCATCCTCGATATCCGAGGGACAGGAGTTTAAGCTCACTAACGCTCTCTGCACCCCTGGAATATGTCCTAACAAAATTGAAGGCTCAGTGTGTACCACCTTGTCGGTGAGACAAGATGACTAGTTCGATCCTTCGATGTACATCAAAAGAATATCGCGGTCGCGTAGCAGTAAAACTTACGGCTTTGAAGTGGGAAGTTGCTCCTTTGTAATCTTAAAATAAAAGGTATCAGCCGAGTGATTGGTGAGGTCTTTTTACCTGAGACAAATCTAATAGCTAGACACGTGTCTTCAGGTTTTCTATGACATATTCCAGGGCATCCTCGACATCCAGGGGGTTACGCTCACGTTCGCTATCTGCACCCCTGGAATATGTCATAGCGAAATTGAAGGCACAATGAAAATCAATCATTAAGTGTATTAACGATGACGCAACAGAAGGATAGTTCTTGACCCATAGCACTGATTTTATGAATATAACGTATTTTGTACATGTACCATATTTTTACACCGCATTTCCCCAACTCTTTTCTAACTTCCCCTGTAATTCATTCACATCACTTTCACTAAACTATAGTTGATAATGTTGGTTACGATGAAATGTAACAGATTTATATAAGTGTATTAACACTTGTTTCTGTCTCTAATTCATTTATGTTTAATCATATTTGTAGTATGTATTACATGTGTTATGTGAATAAAAAAAAGGTTAAACTAAATACACAAGGTGGTGCACACTGAGCCTTCGATTTTTCTATGACATATTCCAGGGATGTAGAGTGCGAAAGTGAGTGTAACCCCTGGATATCGATGATGGCATGTCTCATGATTTATTCTCGTTAATGTTATTTTCGTTATTACACAGCTTGGTCATAACGTAATCCATCAAATTTAAAACACACACATGTACATTCAATAATTACCTCATCCTCGATATCCAGGGATTACGCCCACTTTCGCTCTCTACACCCCTGGAATATAAAAGTGAAGGCTCAATGTGCAGCACCTTGTGGATGAGACAAGAAGACTAGTTCGATGACTTGATGTACATCAAAACAATTTCGCGGTCGCGTAACAGAAACACTTACGGCTTTGAAGTGGGGAGTTGCTGCTTTGTAATATCGAAAGGACAGGTATCAGCTGAGTGATCGGTCAGGTTCTTTTACCTGAGACAAATATAATAGCTAGACACGTGTCTTCAAGTTTGCTATGACATATTCCAGGGCGTCCTCGACATCCAGGGGGTTACGCTCACGTTCGCTATCTGCACCCCTGGAATATGTCATAGCGAAATTGAAGGCACAAAGAAAGCTCTTTGATTGGTCTCTGGTAACAAAATCCTGACCAATCGCTAAGCTAATACCAGTCCTTTGAAGATTACAAAGGGGCAACACCCGACTTCAAAGTCAGTTAATGTTTACCGTTACGCGACCGCAACATTCTTTTGATGTACATCAAATGATCAAACTAGTCTTCTTGTCTCATCTACAAGTTGGTGCACACTGAGCCATCGATTTTTCTATGACATATTCCAGGGGTGTAGAGAGCGTTAGTGAGTGTAACCCCTGGATATCGATGAGGGCATTTCTCATGGATTTATTCTCGTTAATGTTATTTTCGTTATTACATAGCTTGGTAATAATGAAATCCATCAAACTAAAAACACACATGTACATTCAATATTTACCTCATCCTCGATATCCAGGGGTTACGCTCACTTCGCTCTCTACACTCCTGGTATATGTCATAGTAAAGTTGAAAGCTCAATGTGCAGCGCCTTGTGGACGAGACGAGAAGACTAGTTCGATCCTTTCATGTAAATCAAAAGAATCTTCTGGTCACGTAACGGTAAACATTGACAGGCTTTGAAGCCGGGCGTCTCTCCTTTGTAATCCTTAAAGGACAGGTATCAGCCTAGCGATTTATCTTCTTCTTTTTTTTACCTGAGACCAATCACACAGCTATCTTCGTGCCTTTATTTTTGCTATGACATACTCCAGGGGTGCAGAGAGCAAAAGTGAGCGTAACCCCGGGATATCGAGGATGTAATTACCTCATAAATGGTATGATCTGATGTCGAAGGCAGCTCGAGTTTGATGTAAGTTCGTATACGCACAGTTAATGTGATAGGTTCGCTCAAGTTGGGGTGCACTTGTTATTAAATCTTTAATAAATTTAATATACTCGTATATACTTGTAGGCTGGTTTGTTTACTTTTTTGGTCAGTTCAATGATATTTATTTACATTTGCTCTGCATCCTTCCGTTGCAATGCATTAAAAAGGACCAGTGCTGCTGTGAGACTATAACAACATTTGTTATTGTAACGCCATCAAACTCTATTGTGACGTCATCAATTTCGTTGTTGTCAAGACTTAATTCCTGTTCAAAGAACTTTTCGAAATAACTAAATAAAGCGTAACTACTCTATCAAAATGTAAATATAAATAATTATTATTTTAGCAATTATTGTTATGGTCCTTAATACACATCTCTATTGCTGGCAAACTTATATTAATGTGTGCTATAGGATCATAAAATCATTATGGAACACACCAATAAAAAGAATTCGACTTCTTAAGTCGAAGATATGAGCCATTGACTTGTCCGGATACAAGAATGTATTTTACTACTGTATATATCGAAAAATTTTCGCCCAGTCAAACTTTCGCCCTTCCCCTGTGCTATCAATTTTTGCCCAGTGTTAATTTCGCCCTTTACATTATTTTGTTTATTATGATGTTTACTTATATTCGCTGTGATGATAAATTCGTCCTCGTTACGGAGGGCGAAAAAGGCAGTAATTAAACCGCAGCGAAATTACCAGGTTTTTGTCGTTTCAGAAAACAATTAAAATCCATATGCTCAATAAGTGTACACAATACGTCGTGTAAAATTAACTATCGCGTAAAGCTGACATAATGACGTAACTTTTCACATTCCCTTGTGTTGGTCATTAACGATTTAGAGATATATGAACAAGTATAAACTATAAAATCATAACAGACGAAGATACATAATAGTTGACAATCCAGGTATGCCAATATATTCGCGCTTTGACTAATATCCGCGAATTCTAAACACCAGCGAAATTATCGAAAATGTTTACCACTTTTACGGACCTTATCACAACATGTTGAAAATACTTATAACCCAACGCTGTTATGCAAGCTTAAATGAACTCAAATCAGGTTATCGCCGGACAAGTGGGCAGTCCATGTAAAAACAACACTTACATGTTAAGGGCCACAACATATTTATGAATGTGATTAATCGATAATAGTTTACTCCTACAAAGGTACATACACATTTGAGTTTCTTTCGTGTGAAGTCACTGGCGGATGACGACGCTCGGGACCAGTGTTTTCAAACGGTTTACCTGTATTTCGAGGTTTAACCCTTCAATGATGAGACTCAAATACTTTGCAAGACACAATTGATACGGGTGCACAGCGAAATTTAACCCCCGCGGATATGCACTGACTAGGAAACCGCGAAATATTGTCGCCGCGAATTAAAAGCGTAATACAGTATAAACTTTTCTCCCGTCTTCAATTTTCGCAGAATTTTTGTATTCGTCGTTTTACTGTTTATGTTCGCGAATGAAAAGTCTAATGACTATGGCCCTTAGTGCTATTGTAAGAATGGATTAACTTGCTTGAAATTATTGTAATTGAAGGCACCCTATTTTCAAGTTACTATGAAATAAGATATTTTCGGGGGAACAAAATTTCGTAGTTTCCCAGCAAAACACCATTTTGGCACATGAATTCGTGGATCACGAGTACCCACTCAAACGGAGAATTACTTTATATAAAACTTGAAATAAATTGGTGGATCTATAAATTCGTGCATGAAGATGATCCACGAAATCACGGAAAAGAAAAAATCAAACGAAAACTAATTATTTCACAGCATCTGAAAAGGAATTTCGATAGTTTTTACAAAAATCTGGAGGATGAGTTATATGCAAGTAGGCTTAAATCATTATAATTTTAAGACATACTATTCTCAATATCTGAAACGTAATTTGTGTAGTCTTTACAAAAATCTGAAGGATGAATCATATATATGTTGGTCGATTAGAATTTTTTATTTGGAGGTAAACTATCCTCTATTCTCAATATATCTTAACGTGAAATCAAACCTTAGTAGACACATCTTATTTTATAAAATATTTTTAATTTGGATTCAAAGGAATTTCAAAAGAAAAAACAATCGACTAGAATTGTTACGAATTAGACCTGAATGGAATTACGGTGGTCTATTGAAATCTACTTCCGCATGCTTGAACAACAAGGATGTTGACCTAATAATTGTTCATGTGACAATCTAATTAAAATCTATCTTCGTATTGCTCCAGTCTACTGAGTCGAAATGACGCGTGAACGGGAGCGATGGGAAGATACAATTTTAATTAGATTGGAGTTGTGATTACTTATAATTCATTTATTCTGTCTCAAACTCTGTCTTGTTTCTCTGAAAACTGGATATTTGTATTTGCTTTCACAAATTAATATCTATTCATAACGAATAAACTCGTCGTTGTTTATTCAACTTTAGGTATTGGGTCATCGTCTGGCGAACACTGGAAACTCACCAGGAAATTTTCCTCGAAAACTCTTCGGGAGTTTGGATTTGGAGGCAGGTCATTGGAATCAAGAGTAAAAGAAGAAACAGCATCTTACTTAGATAGCATTGAGCAACACAACGGGTGCCCGTTTGACATCAAGCCGTTGACAGTCTTGGCTGTGTCTAATGTCACATGCAGTATTGCATTTGGAAATAGATTTGAATACACTGACGCAAGGTTTAAGCGATTGACGTCCCTTTTTGCTGATAACTTTCGGCTAACAGTGGAGAGCGGAGCTGTAAGAAACCTACCTGGTGCCAGGTACCTTCCTGGGGACATGTTCAATATCAAAAAGTTGATTAGCAATTATAACGATATCAAGGAATGTATCGATGAACAAATTAATGAACACAGGACAAAGTTTGACGAAGATAATCAACGAGATTTCATTGATGCTTTCCTTACCGAACAAAACAAACGAGGCAAGGATGAACAGATTTTTGAAGGTACGCAGGAAATATTTATGTACCTATTTGTTTTATTCATTCATAACGATTATGTATCAGTTTGTCGCTTAAATGACATAAATTAGTATTTACATGAGAAAAGTAAATATACGGATTGTAACTTTAAACTTATTGGACCACATATCACCGCCTGTGAAGTTATTTATATATCATCACACTGTATTTTCAAGGTTGGTCGTGAGAACAATTTTCTCATCGAGAGCACGTGGATAAAATCGAAAGGCCACTTAAAGCGGGCTCGAGATTTTATCTACGCGGCGACGTTTTATCTATGTACGACAAACCCTGAAAATACAGTGTGGTAATGAAAATTATAACTTATCATCATCTGTTGTCTGAAAATGTCTATGTATGTGTCTTTACTATTGTGTTTTATAATTGAATTATTCATGTAATAAAAAAAATATGGACTTTATTTATTTAACAACAATTATGAAACAAGTTATTTCAACTTATATTAATCACTCTTGTTGGCCCGGATGTTAGCGCGCGGGGGGTCTTATTGTGGGAGAAAACCGAAGTACCCGCAGAAAACCCACTTGGTCTGGCAGGTGACCCCATATCTCTTCACGTCCGATTGGGGAATCGAATCCCGGCCGCATTGGTGAAAGGCATGTGCGCTATCCACCGCACCATCCGACCACCCTATATTCATATAATATAACGACTAACTATCAGTGATCACAAGGAGGCAACCTTGTTTGCAGTATAAATAGTATCCCCGTACATGAATTCGAGATTTTCTATATACTGTAAAAGTATGTGTGGTTGTGACTCCTTAACCTGATTGCGACGAGGAACTGTTCGGCTTAGCAATAGTTCTTAAAGTTTGCTTATCTGTTATCTGTTTAATCTATAAATGATTACTGCATGTGGATATTTTCACGATAATTAACTTAAAATCAAAAACCGCGAACATTGCCACACCGCGAAATTTTCACTTTAAACCCACCCTACTAATTTATGCACAAACAATCATAACCATTTGCACCCAGCACTAAAAGTCTATTTGTTTTATTTACACAGATATAAACTTGTCAGCTATCATCATAAATCTGTTCCTTGGCGGAACTGTCACATTATCTGGCATATTTGTGTGGGCAATACTGTACCTTCTTCACAACAAAAACATCCAGGACAAACTTCGAAAGGAGATAGAGTCAGTGGTCGGGACGTCCAGGCTTCCGTCACTCGCCGACAAACCCGCCTTGCCTTACAACGAGGCGTTTATGACAGAAGTACATCGAATGGCCAACTTCGCACCATTTTCTGTGCCTCATGGTGCCACGAAGGACATCCAGTTCCGTGGAATGACTATACCAAGTGGGTCGATGATCCTGGTTTCCCTTGACTCCGTAATGAACGATCCCAACATCTTTGAAAATCCTGACACATTTAATCCCGATAGATATCTAGGACAGGACGGACAACTCAATGGCAAAGAGAGAAATGTCATATCCTTCTCGCTAGGTAAGAACTAATGTGTTAATCGATGGTTTGATAGTTAATGGGAAATATATCAATTTCTACTTAAGTTGGACTCAATGCAACTACCAAATGTTACCTGTTTCATTTTCCGATGAAACTGACCTGATTAACACTGGCTGTGCGTATGAATACATATTTTCATACGTTATGTATTTCAAGAAGGGAGATAACTATTAACATTTTTAAACATAGAAGATACCACTTGTCTGATTTTTTTGGATTTTTTTATGAAAATACACAAGAAATTGTTCGAGCAACCAAAGATGATCAATCAGCAAAATAGTATCAACTGTTACTAGCGGTAGTCACAATCCATGTACTGCCTTAAGAAATTCTCCCTTAGCAGTTATTTAAGTTTCTTTCAAGACCAACTGAATTCTTATAGCTTATAACTATCAAACGTCCACTCCTCACACCTTTACTAGTGTGATACGTTTCATTTAGTGTATAGGGTTTAGCGTCATATTAGCAGGTAAGATTATTAAAGAACGGGCCTTCTTGTGTGTAACAGTATGTGTGTGCTGGAGGATATGTGTTGGTGTATTTGCATCCTTGCATCCTTGCGATAGCGCGGTACTGATGCCGATTTATAGTGTTACCTCACTGAAATATCGTGTCGAGGGCACCAGGCACAGTATTCTAACCCGAGGGCACCAGGCACCAGGCACAGCATTCTACCCGATCAAAATATACTTAAATCCTTACGTATATACAAGCACTAGAATAGTTCGGGATGAAACTGAATATATATTAAACAAAGTGATGTTCAAGCTTAGCAAAATTCTGTAAAATTTGCAAATACTTATATAGACATTGATATGTTATAGTGGGAGATCTCGTGTTGGAGAAAACATCTCTATTGCCTTTAACAGTATTTGAATAAGAATCAATTCATACAAACTACCACTTCATTTAGTTCTTTTGTTAGAAAGGTTTGGCAGTTTATGCTGAAATAACAAATTATAATTCCTACAAGGATTTACTCTATTTACTAACAACTGATAGATATATTTGAATTACAATATTCTTAATTTCAATGTGCATTAAATGTACTTAAATATAAAATCACTTTGTGACGACAGGGCCACGAACCTGTCTCGGAGAATCCTTGGCAAGGCTGAAACTATTCACACTGATGACATCATTGCTGCAGAGATTTGAGATCCTCCCTGAGGTACCGGACCAACTTCCCTCACTCGAGTCTATCCCAGGGCTGACACGGGCGCCGAAAGATTTCAAATGTCGGATTGTTAAGATTTAATGATAAATGTTTGACTCAATGAACCGATTTGGTTTTGGTAAAGTGTAAACTGAATGTTTCAATTTTAGCAATAGAATATATTGTCAAATAAAATACTGTCAAAACGTATCTGTTGCAAAACGTTAAGTAAGGGAGATACGCATATTTTAAAATAGAATGCATTTAGAGATCTCAATTCTATTGCTGGATCAGTTGGTGACCTGTTTGACATACGTTTGGATTATGGTCTATTAAAAGCTGCTGATTTCAAGGACAAAATCCCCCCAACCTTGAACGCAATATTCAAACCTTTTGCAACAGAATACGCCGTTCCTTTGTCAAGAGTTTGCACTCCAAGAGAAAAGTGGAGGACAATCATATTCTCATACAAATGTTCAAAAGGTGTCTATCAACAAGGTTTGCGTTTAAAGGGTTCTTTGCCAAGGAAATCACAAAAGACTCTGAGCTATATACAAATAAAGTCTACTTGCGTTCTCCGAAAACAAATATGTGATGTGACAGTATCTTTGTCGTAAATGAGATTACCATTTAATTCAAATGATGCAGTGATCGTAGGAAACTCTATGGAATTCGAATTATAAATTAAAACAAAAGAGTCCTTATATACTATGAAGGAAACCTATAGTAATTGTTGATTTGAAGAACATGTTTTCCATTAAGAGAAGGCTACGTAAAACGGTTTAAAGCCGTATGTCCTCAGATCACAGGAAAGTAAGGTATATCACCAAATTGACCTACCAGCAATTAATGATATTCCCTGATGAAACACCAGGAACTTCCTGTGTTCAATTGACACATATTTTTTTCTCAAGATTTTAACTTCCATCAAATTAAGGTGGGAATAGTTATCTCAGTTAATTTATCTCACGAACAAGCCTGCGGTAAATATAATCTTCCTCGTATTGATAAAAAGGCTGTACCACACATGTTTATTCGTCTGACGTCCAATATTGCACGAATGCATTGCATGTGTGGATATATTTCACAACGGCTTCAGCCCTAGTGCAATATATATCAATTTGCTAAATGAACGAGTGTAATCGGTGACGTTATATGTGGTATTGCCTACATAATATACTTACAATTAATTTATATGCTTTCATTATATCTTTTGTAAATCGTTACTCATAATAACCCTGTAATAATATTCAAATTGTTTCCACCATAAATTGAACTAGACGACAATGGCTTACAAAACGACGTCATGAATGGCTTAATGACGTCACGTCATATAGAATTAAAATGACGCTAAATCATTCGGAACTCATTATTGTAAACACTCATCGATTTGTTCAATAGATAAGAACCGATGAGTTCTAGATTTATTTTATTTTTCTGATTTCGACCAAATAGGTTTTGATACAACAACACTTTGTATGATCAAAGTGAAATATAGGAATTTGTAGTGCTACCATCACGATAGTAAGATTCGTGTATGTAATAAATCATTGTATCACCCTAAGCAGTGGTAAATAATCGTATAGCAGAACCTTTCTACACATACGAATGTTTACACAGTGTAGCGTACACGGACAGTATATCTGTCGTGTGTGTTTATATATACGTTGTTTTACATGTAGCAGCAATACCACACAACATGTCTTTCTACGTTATCACACAGAAACTTGACGTTTGCTTAATTAAACACTGAAAGTAAATTCTGTTTCAAAACGTTTGTCTAGCCGAAGTAAGTAAGCTAGCGAGTGATGTTCTCCGATCAAAGGTCCCTATGAAAAAAACTGAAATCGTTTTCAGAGGGCAAAACCACAGGGACCTGAGAATTTGAAACAGCTATATTTGGATCTAAACTAAGGTGTTAAAGGGACATCACGTGAAAAGGCGTTTTTTTTTTAATGAATGTATATATTGTATGCACTTCCACTTATGTTCCCTCGCTATCCCCATATTCAAAGTCCGTTCCAAATGTCCAGTTTGACCACTTGAATTGTTCGGGAAAGCCCTGCTTAAAATAGCGCCGATATCAGTCACCTGACTAGGCAGTAACCACAAGTGGTGCGAGCGAGATGAAACGGTTTCCAAAGGGGCCCCCAGAGAGGGCACTTACCGCACTATGAAATCAAGTTATATGATTTTTAAGTCCGTATTCAAACTTATTGAACAGCAATTATTCATCATTAGAAGTCAATTACTCACTTGCCGATGTTCAGAATTTTAATTTATTTAGCTTTAAACATAAATTTGTTGCCAATAAAATTAAACAAGGGAAGGGGCACAAGTTTTTACAATTTATCACAGCCTTCTCCAGTCATACATTTACAATTAAATGTCAACAATGATAATAGGCATAAGCATAAAGTAGATATATTTGAATATATATTGAATTTAGTACCGAAATGTGGCCGTTACAGATTGTACGGGGCTAAACACCTTCCCTACACTAAGGGACAAACCTTTCTGATTTTTTTTT